AGGCTGTGCTTGAACTCCTTACCTCAGGTGATCCAGCCGCCTCGGCCTCCCAGAGTGCTGGGATTACAGGTGTGAGCCACCGCACTCAGCCTGCTTCAGGTTTCCTTTCTGCTCGTCATGTGAAACTGCTGCCTGGAATTTTCTATTCTCCTGTGACCTGTATTATTTCTGTCTCACTGGCATTGGAAAAAGAGTTGGCTCTGATATGCAGGGAATTGTTTGTTACAGTAGTCATTAGTACTTGTGAAGCAGGTTTACTGTGAACTGGTTACCAATTTGTTTGAGTCTAGTAAGACAGAACACCCATACACAAGTTACATGAAATGGGTTTATTACTTAGAGATAAGCAGCAGCCTAGGATGCATGTGAACCAGTCCCCCAAGGGTCAGAAAAACTGCATGGGCTGGAATCTTTTCTGTGCATACCCACTTCCACTGCACCTGAGGGAAAGCAGCCCACTCAAAAAAAATTAAGGGTTTTTCTTGTTTTGTTTTTGTTTTTGAGACAGAGTCTCACTGTTGCCCAGGCTGGAGTGCAGTGATACAATCTCAGCTCACTGCCACCTCTGTCTCTCAGATCCAAGCGATTCTCCTGCCTCAGCCTACGAGGAGCTGGGATTACAGGCACCTGCCACCACACCCAGCTAACTTTTGTATTTTTAGGTGAGATGGAGTTTTACCATGTTGGCCAGGCTGGTCTCGAACTCCTGATCTCGGGTGATCCACCTACCTCAGCCCCGCAAAGTGCTGGGATTACAGGAGTGAGCCACCACACGGGCCCCGCCTTGAGTTTTACACCCAGGGGAAACATGACTAAATCGGCCTTGGGTTTTATGCCCTGGGGAGCATGACTTGCTGGGCTAAAGCATTGAAGCCATTCTGTTTCTAGGCGGAGACAGGAACAGCGCTCGGGTTATTCTGGCCAGCCTCTCCTTATCTCAGGTTGTATTCACTGCACATTCTACATTTATTCTTGAGAATCCAAATGAGAAATCAATGTGAACTGGGTTGTGCAGGGCCACCCAGAGACCTGTCCTGCATTACTGTGGAGACAAAAGTGACTCCATCTTGGATGCTAATCTGCCACGTTGACTTCTAAGTAACCCCAGTCCCACGAATGACCCCTGATTCTTACTTTATTTACTGTCCTTTAGTGAAAGAACACGTACTCACTATGAATCCTGCCTTTAGATCAGCACAACCTTGATATTATCATACAAATTATAGGCTGTGATGCACATAGCTTTCTTGCCTTTCCTGGGGGATTGCCTTTCATTGTCTCTAGAGCACATACCTCCTTTCCCCATGGTAGGTGAGCCCTGGGTCTGGTGAGTAGTGGGGCAGAGTTCTGTATGTCTATGGCCACCCAGGACCATGCTGCTGCCTGTAAGTTCCCCAATAAATCACCCTCTACCAACAAACTGAATTTGGTTTCTCAGCTCCTTCTGTGTTTAGGGGTCACTTTGCATAGACGGCCCTTTCACAGAACAAGTACTCACCCTAACTAATATAATGGAGAAATGCAGTTAAATATGACACCTTTCCCCCGACCCCCTCAGCAGCAATGCGTCTCTTCCCTGTGTTCTGGGAAAGAGAACCGTGAATTTTTTTGTTGTTGTTGTTAGAGAGTCTCACTCTTTCACCCAGGCTAAGGTGCAGTGGTGTGATCTCGGCTTACTGCAGCCTCTGCCTCCCAGGTTCAAGCAATTCTTCTGCCTCAGCCTCCCAAGTACCTGGGACTACAGGCGCGGACCACCACATCTGGCTAATTTTTGAATTTTTGGTAGAGATGGGGTTTCACCATGTTGGCCAGCCTGGTTTTAAACTCTTTACCTCATGATGCGCCTGCCTCGGCCTCCCAAAGTGCTGGGATTACAGGCGTGAGCCACCACACCTGGCCTAATTTTTGTATTTTTAGTAGAGACCAGGTTTCAAAATGTTGGCCAGGCTGGTCTTGAACTCCTGACCTGAGGTGATTCTCCTGCCTCAGCCTCCCAAAGTGTTGGGATTACAGGTGTGAGCCACCACACTCAGCCTTTAGTGTTTTTTGTTTTGTTTTGTTTTTTTGAGATGGAGTCTCGCCCTTTAGCCCAGGGTGGCGTGCAGTGGCGTGATCTTGGCTCACTGCAACCTCCACCTCCTGGGTCCCAATTCAAGCAATTCTCCTGCCTCAGCCTCCCAGGTGGCTGGGGGTACAGGCATATGCCACCATGCCCAGTCAATTTTTAAATTTTTAGTACAGATGGGGTTTCACCATGTTGGCCAGGCTGGTCTTGAACTTCTGACCTCGTGATCTACCCACCTCTGCCTCCCAAAGTGCTGGGATTACAGGCATGAGCCACCACGCCCTGGCAGGTTTTTATTTTAATTAATTAATTTATTGATGATTTACTTTTGTGGAGACAAAGTCTCGATCTGTCCACCCAGGCTGGAGTGGGGTGGCGTGATCTCGGCTCACTGTAATCAGCCCGGGCTCAAGTAATTCTTCTACCTGGGTTTCCTGAGTAGCCAGGACTGCAGGCACACGCCACCACTCCCGGCTAATTTTTAATTTTAGTAACGATGGGGTTTTACCATGTTGGCCAGGCTGGTCTTGTACTCCTGACCTCAGGTGATCCACATGCCTCGGCCTCCCAAAGTGCTGGGATTACAGACATGAGACACTGCACCCAGCCTATTTTACTTTATTTTTTGAGATAGGGTCTCACTCTGTCACCCAGGCTGGAGTGCAGTGGTGCAATCTCAGCTCATTGCAACCTCTGCCTCCCGGTTCAAGCGATCCTCCTGCCTCAGTCTCCAAAGTAGCTGGGATTGATTACAGGCATGTGCCACCATACCCAGCTAATTTTTGTATTTTTAGTAGAGACGGGGTTTCACCATGTTGGCCAGGCTGGTCTCGAACTCCTGATCTCGGGTGATCCACCTGCTTCAGCCTCTCAAAGTGCTGGGATTACAGGCGTGAGCCACTGTGCCTGGCCTCATTACTGATTTTTAGTTACTCTTATGGTTATTGGTTGATTAAGGTTTTAAACTCCTTTATAAGTCAGTTTTCCTAGAAAAATTATTCTGTGTATCTGTTTTGTTTTGTTTTGTTTTGTTTTGAGACAGAGTCTCACTCTGTTGCCCAGGCTAGAGTGCAGTGGTGTGCATGATCTTGGCCCACCGCAACCTCTACCTCCTGGGTTCAAGCGATTCTCCTGCCTCATTCTTCTAAGTAGCTGGGATTATAGGTTCGCACTACCATGCCCAGCTAATTTTTGTATTTTTAGTAGAGACAGGGTTTCACCATGTTGGTCTGGCTGGACTCGAACTCCTGACCTTGTAATCCACCTGCTTCAGCCTCCCAAAGTGCTAGGATTACAGGCGTGAGCCATTGCGCCCAGCTTCTTTTTTTTTTTTTTTTTTAGATGGAGTCTCGCTCTGTCACCCAGGCTGGAGTGCAGTGGTGCAATCTCAGTTCACTGCAACCTCTGCCTCCCAGGCTCAAGCAATTCTCCTGCCTCAGCCTCCTGAGTAGCTGGGATTACAGGTACCCACCACTGTGCCCGGCTAATTTTTGTATTTTCAGTAGAGATGAGGGTTTCACCATATTGCTCAGGCTGGTCTCAATCTCCTGACCTCAAGTAATCCACCTGCCTCAGCCTCCAAAAGTGCTAGGATTACAGGTGTGAGCCACTGCGTCTAGCCCTGGTCTATGTATCTGTGCTGTCCAGTATGATAGCCACTAGGCATACAAGACTGTTAAGCACTTGAAATGTAACTAGTCCAAACTGAGATGTGAT